CTCCTGTCGGGATGCTGTGAGTAGGAACGTGCTTAATTTTACTATGGAAAAGCCAGAGCTACACAGAGCAGTTGGCAGGGCTTAAGGAAGGCTCAGGCTTCTCTACAGCACATAGCTAAGAAGATTAAGCATTTAACTACGCATCCTTCTAGTATTCTGCTGGGGGTATGAGGTTTTATTTTGTCTGCTTGGTGGAAATAAGATATAAGAAAAAAAAAAAAACAAAAAAAAACTGAAGTGTTTTTTAGAGAGAAAGCCATTGCCTGACCTAAATGTCTATGTGAAAAATTGGGCATCCTGGGTTACCCAGAGGGACGGGTGGTTGGGGGGAGTGATGACATACAGCCACCAGCAGCGCTGAGAGGAGCGGTGTCAGTGCAGGTCTGTGTGCCACAAGGCTTCCTTTGGAAAGAAGCATCCTCCTGCATTGTGAGCCACGACTGCCCCTGGCTACGCCCTCCATCCTCTTCCCCCTGCTCTTTTCTGTTTTCTGATAGAGATGAGTACTACCCAGAGGAAGTGAGAAGCTGAGCTTTAAAATCCTCTTTGGTTTTTCCTCATAAGAACTATTGTGCTTATTTGGTTACTAGAAATAGTGTTACAGTGGTGTGAGCAGGATCTCACCACCCATCAGCAGGCATTGAATGCAATGTATACTCAGGGTTTTTAGTAAACGTTTCTATTATTACCACTCATCTTCTAAGGACGTGAAGGGTTTTGACGGTAAATAAATGGTCCTATTCCCAGAATAACCTCCACTTCACTGGGAGCACAAGCTCTTCTTTACGCATTGCTAATTGATTGGATCCTAAGCATTATTAATGAGCAGCATCCACTGACGTTCCAAGTAGCGGAGGCTCTCAGCTCCTCACTCTTGTCTGCTGATGCACTTTAGGGCTTTCGGCCAGTGCACAGCAAAACCCACCCAAGGGTAACTCACCATTGGAGGTGGGGATCCAGACGGCTCAGCGCTCAGCTCTTTCCCTCTCCCGTTGTACTATTTGTCAAGAGATGCTCCAAAACATGCTTTGTTTGAAAGTGTGCCCATTTAAAGGGTTACACGTGCTCAGATGCCCCAGCCAGGTACATACTGTCAAGAAATGTAGTGATGCTACCATTTCCTTTTGGAACGCAGGGCTCACGTTCTCAAAGGTAATCGATGCTCAGGATCAGAAGTCTCATTGGTATGAAGCCACTTGTGGAAAAGGGATTTTGGATTCATTCCAGAGCTGTACGCTAGAACACAAAAGCAGTGCAAATACAATTTCCCCCTTTTTAAATTTAATGAACTTGAGAACTATGCCAGGTTTATAAAGCTTAGCAAGGCAGAGCAGCCCAGCTCCTCAGCATGCCAGTTTTATAAATAGACTAAATGTGAAAAAGGGGAAAGGGCTCTCTTAGCTGCCCTGAAATACAACTTTGTGTTCTGAATTCTGCTAACTTCTACTCTCTAGGAAAGACAGTTAGTTATAAATCACACATCAAACAAGCAAGAGAGAGTGTCCAAGCCAGACAGCTGATAAGATTTGGGGGTAGATGAACATTAATTATACTTTTTCCTGCTTAGGAAAAGTAATTTTGCTTATTAATTAAACCAAATTTGCTGAAGGTAAAGAGTTCATGAAAACTCTCTGTTCATAATCCTATTATTTCCATCTATGCACTTGTTGAAGCAAATACCCCTTCTTTCCCAGCAGGCTGATTTTCCTGAAGTTTCATGAGGAAGGACTGGTATTTTAGGTACTGAAACATTAAAGAGCAATCTATTTTAATTTTTCTTAGAAGTAAACGATGTGGAACCTATCCTTTGCCATGAGAGATAAGCTAGTAATATATAAGATAATAATATTATTATCATAAGCCCAGAAGTCAAAACAAGTCTTCCTCCATTCCTCCATAGAGAGATGACCCCAGAAAATTCCCATTTCTCACCTCGAGATCCATGAATGTATGGAGGCAAAAGCGGCCTGCCCCTTCTCTGACCCACACTTGGAGGCACTGTGCAGACAGCCTGAGTCCCTCCTGCACCCACCTCCCTCCTGCTGAACATCCAGCCCAGGGCTGCACGCTCCTCTCCACTCCCCCTGGCTATTGAGCTGTGTTGAGGTAGAATTTAGGCCATCTGAAAATGAGTTGCATTAAGCAGAACGCTCACCTAATTCCATCCATTCCTCATAACACGGGACTGTAAGGAATTTCTTTGGCTGACCTAAAACCAAATCTCCCCAGCCCACACACGTGCTCACCTTCCCATTCCAAAACATTAATTCACTTGCAGATGAATCACAGACACAGCAGAAACCCTCCTGTGTTTACAAGAAGGCTGTCAGACGCCCTGCACAGATGGCATAAGCTTGAACACGAAGTAACTCCATTTTTTGAGAAACGTTACCCATATTTAGCCCCCACCCTCATTCCCATACAAACTCAACCTACAGACCTGATTGTCTACTTAGAAGCTTGTGAAACCCCAGCAGCAAGCAGCTGGTGTGACCAAGAGAGAGAAAAGCACTGTTAACTGCAGCTGGGAAGCCCAGCACAACTGTAAATGACAATCAGCTGCAGCTGTAGGAGATTCAGGGATGTGTTCTGTCTGAATGAGGGCTCCACGAGTAATGGCAAAACAGAGGTGAAGTGACACAAATGAAGAAAGCATCCAGAGTTTATTGGAAACGGGACAAACTAACCTTGGTCTGCTGGTTTCTGCACGTTTCTGTTCTGTGTAGTGATTTTTAATTGCAAAATGTATTTCCTTTGCCAAGGTGGAAATCAGCCCTTTGCTTCCTCTTGAGCCGTGTGAAGAAGAAAGGTAATGCAAGTTATGTCCAAGAGGAGAGTAATTCACAGGAGCAGCTACAGACCTGCAGCTGCGCGCACGGGTCAAGAAATCCCACAGTTGCACAATTTTAAAGTGTCCAGAGTAGTTTTTCACATAATTTTGATCAGTTTTACATAAATGCTGGAGGAAAACTTTCCCGTGCATCTCTTCTAACTGCTCTGGTACAGCTTCTAGGGTTAGAGATGTGCCTTGTGTCCCTGTGGGCATAAAAGTCAACATCCCAGTATGGGCCACTGCAAGCAGAAGGGCTGAAAGCATCGGAAAGTAAAGAAAAAGAGCAGCATTGCTTAATTATTTTTGTTCTATATTTGAAAAGAAATAAATACACTGATAATTTATATCATGAAGATAAAAAGGGGGTCAAGTTCTCCCCCCCAAAAAAGGGAAAAAAAATTAAAAACAATTCAGCAGGCTCAAGTATTTGGCACTCCTGTCCTGGAGCTCATGGTTAATAATGGTTTTAAGATTCCCAAAGTTGTGCCATTGTTCAAACAGGATAATGATGCAGCAACAGAAATGTATTCCTTCTGAAATACGCCGTTTCCTACCAAAATAACCCTTGTTTAACACTCAGAACGGGTAGAAGCAGCCCCAGCATTAAGCACAGCATTGCTCACCTGCTAAAATCTGAGAGGGCACAGAGCCCCGTGGAGCTTCCCAGCAGCAGGGCTGCCACTGGGACACAGCACCTACATGTGCTGTCAGGGACTGGCATGTCAGACACAACATTTGTGGGACATCAGTACCCAGCCTAGCATCAGCTGTTTATGGTTGGTTTCACAACTCTGTTGGAGTCCTGAGCACCGAATTTCTTCTCAATCACACCTTGCTTTTCAGCAGAGGAGTGCAGTCGTGTCCCAGTGACCTATTTCTAAATATGCAAAACAGGCTTTCTGCAGCATCAGTGAAATGCAGCTATCTGACAGTGTAGTAAAATGTTTACTAGCTTTCATTAAGGATGCTCTGCACTACACACATGCAGCCCCCAATGCAAATAAACATGCCGCCATCACAATTGTACTGCCAGACCCCCACCTATCACCACCTGCCACGTTTTCCACTGCATCCATTCTCCTGGTGCAGAATGCTCATGCTGTCCCCTTATGTTTTCTACCCATTGTCTCTGACCTACATTTAGTTGTAAATTCTGCCAGCCAACTGCCAGTTTGCAGCTTCTTTGGGCAATGAGCTGTCCTGATCTACCTGCTGGGGCGGCTGATCTGTGCCTTATGAGATGCTGCTAAGTACTGCTGTTCCAGCCCTGGCAACTGGTTGGCTCAGCGGGCTGCAGACAGCTGTCGTGGTGCAAGGAAGCTCTGCTCTGACTGTGACTCCAGGCAGATGCAAAGGCTTATCCTGGTGCTGCATTTCAAGTCACCCTTGCTGACTTTGTACTGGCTACTGGTCTGATCCAGGGATCTGATCTGACATCGCTCTCTAGGGAGTATTAGGATGAGTAATTTTCATTTCATCAGAGCTGCTAGATGTGGTTTGTCAAGGAGTGCTAGATACAGCACTGCATTGTTTGTATGCTTTCCAGAGTTCCATGGCTGTAAGTGGTTTTAGTTATGTATAAACAACTCAAAACAAGACAAATATTTAATGAGATTTCATTAAGGAAAGCATGCTCTGTCAACAGCAGGACTTAAGAGTTTTTGTTCTGCTTTCTATCAGCTAAAAGAATGGTTTCTCTGACAGCTTTCAGGAAGTGCCTCCTTCTTCCCTGACCTGTCTTTATACAATTCCATTGACTTACAATTCAAGTTGACATAAGGCAGGGAAGAGTCAGATGTGGCTACGAAATAACTGCTGGAAAACTGAAAGGAGCACAGCCAACATAATAAGTAATTATATATATGAAAACATAAACCAGTTCAATCCTGAACATATAGGCATAGACCAAAGTTGACATCGATACAGGTATCAGAGTGCGTTTAGAAATAGCTAAGCAACATGCAGTGCAGATTCAGTGTGCTCACAGTCCTCATCCTTAACCCAAGCACCGCTCCATTCTTACTAACAGAATGTTCTCAGAGCCTCAGTTACCAACACTGTGCCTGGGTCTGCCACCTTCATACACACACCTTCTGTTTCACTAATCTGCTTCTCGTGCAGTGCTGTGACTCAATAATGGAAATCACAGGTGACAAACAAAGCAAGTCACACCGTGCTCTGATGGTGCTCCCAGCTGCAGTCTCTTGTGGTTTACAAGCGCTGCTGGGGCTGCAGGTTGGAGCAGCTGAGCTCCTGCTCCAGGTGGGCTCTTTGGAGAACATTAGCTGACTGCTCACCGCCAGCCCTCCTCTAACAGTAGCTGTGTTCTGCTGCTTTCTTTACAGAAACAGATGTGAGGAAGCAGCAGCATGGAGCTCAAGAGAGGAAAGACCTTCATAAAATGCAGTGTGCAACACGAGAAAGTGCCACCAACACACACCGCTCCTACAAACAGAGATGACGTGGGCAAGGACAAAAGGGCTCTGGAGGGAAATCAAAGCGTAGCCCAAGTCCAGCTGGCGTGTTTGGCCACGCACAAGAACTACAGATTCTCCAGCAGAGCAGCAAGGAGCGGGGCTGGTGAGAACAGCCTGGAGAAGCCTTCTGGGACCTCCTACAAACTCGTGAGGAAGAGTAAAACCCACGACTGCGTTAGTGAGGCTGACAGAAGCGAGCGGTGCGGCCCCAGCAGCAGGGCTTGTGAGGAAGGATTTGCTGCAAAGGGCAAGGGGAGGCTTGTCAATAGCGTCAGCTTTTCGGGGGTGTCCAGTTCCACCAGTAAGAAAGAGTGTGTGGTCAACTCCAGCCCGCCCGCCTGCAGCAGCCAGATGATCGATTACAGGAACTTTGTGCCACAGATGCCTTTTGTACCGGCTGTTGCAAAAACTATTCCCAGGAAGAGGATATCCCTCAAGAGATCGAAGAAAGGGCTCAGAGATATATTTCACATAAAGAAAAGTAAACCAGAGAGCCTCACGTTCCTGGTTGAGAAGGACAAGAATCTGTCCTCTCCAGGCTGCAAGGGTGAGGTGCCCGGGCATCTCACAAAGTCCTTTTTCAAAACTGGAGAAACATTTGCAGCAGACTGCTTGTCCCAAGACTGCTCCGACAACGAGCTGCAGTCTGACTCTTCGTACGACTGCTGCAACGCTCTGTGTGAAGATGTCGCATCGCTGAAGAGCTTTGACTCCCTCACCGGCTGTGGGGAAATCTTTGCTGACGAGAGCTCTGCTCACCTGGAGCTGGAGAGCAGCAAAGAAGTCCTGGTGAGACGGAGCAAGCACAAGGAGAGCCCCGCCATGGGCTCCTTCCAGGGCGGTGTGGAGCAGCTGGCCTCCCCCGGCCAGAACGAGGCCGTTGAATTTGCAAAGTTTTGGGACAACATTAACAAATCAGTGAGGCTGCATCAGAGCACACTGTTTGATAAGAAGGTACTGAAGGTTCCCGGTTCTGAAAGGGGAAAAGCTGGAGGCCAGGTTGCTGCACCTGCCGCAAGCCCCCAGACACCGCCTGATAAAGATGGGGACAATTCCAAAGAGAGCTCCACAGAAACTGGAACACCAAAAAGTGACAACCAGGAATCCATATCCACAAGCGATGAAGGCTACTATGATTCATTCTCTCCTGGACAAGATGACGAAGCGAAGGAAGCTCAGACCCCTGGGGTCCCAGGCAGGTTTCCAAGAGACAGCTACAGTGGAGATGCCCTTTATGAACTCTTCTATGACCCAAACGAAGTCAAAATAAACCCGGTCATGGATGATGACTTGTGTACATCCGAAAGCATTTCAGAACAAGCCATTGAAATCCCCTTGTCCATCTACAGCTTTCATGTTGGAGCTGAAGAAAACATGGCTTCCCAGCCAGGTATAGACATTATCAGCCAAGGATTTTTCCACAGCACTTGGAAAGGCAAAGAATGCTTGCTAAAGCTCTGTGATACTGAGCTTTCACTAACAATGGGGATAATAAACTGGCTGCGGAAACACGCGGGACTTGTTTCTTCCCCAGACTCTCTGCAGAGTCCCAGATCGCAGACAGAAAAGTGTAATGGCTCACTGATCACTCGCAGTCCCAGTCCAGAGCAGAAAGTTAGCACAGAAGCTCAGCAGGAGGAAAAGAGCCAGGAGGAATCTAATTCATCTCACCTAAGGGTGTTTTTGGATGAAGGCAAGGCTGCAACCCAGACCTCTTCGGAAAATGTTGCTGAAAGAGAGTCTTGCACTCACACAGCCAATGTGGCCTTCCAAGGAAGGACAGGGAGCCAACACCAGGACTCACCTGCAGTGCCTGGCACTGTAGAAACCACCGGAGCATCGAACTGTGCACCACAGTCACAGGCTAATGGGGACGACACACAGTCATCTTCAACTGAGGATGAGAAGGTGACAATGTCAGAGGGATGCCAGATATCAGGAGGTGAAAACCCGCTGACAGAAAGTTTGAGCAGACACAGTGGCTCGCAGAGCTCTGAAAACCCTTTGCTAAATGACAATCATGACGTAGAGTCTTGTTATTCCTACAAGACTGCTGCCACCTCACCCCCGGACCCTCTGGAGAGGGAGGACAGAAGTGAAGTGATGTACCACTCCCTGTCCATCTGCGATGAGCTGCTGCAGCCTCTTGGGCTCGGACATTTCCAAGGCTACATCAGCTCCACGCCGCAGGAGAGCAGTGCTGGCATAGTGCAGCTCTTGGAGCACTGCATGACACAAGTGGCATCGTTAAAAATCAGCTACGACAACAAGCACCTGGAAGACAACTGTATTGGAAATGACATGAACAGTATTATCTGTAAGATGTCTCAATACAAAAACAAGCTGTTGTTGCAAAATGAATGCAACTGCACCGACCAAAAGCCAGAATATTGCAATATTCCCTGCACAAATCAATACAATTATGAAACGGGCTTCCAAGCCAGCAGTCTGTATCATTTGAAGCAAAATGGGGAAAAAAATTGCTCTGAAGAGCAGAAAAGCAGAGCAAAAATCCTAGATGAAGTCACTAGAGGCAAGATCAATTTTGAATATGCCCAGCTAAATAACAAAGCACTCTCCTATTTAAAAGACTTCACGTTTGAGCTCAGTGCGGGCGATCCAGTTCCCACAGCTCTCAGCAGGCCCACATTCCTACCTCTCCCCGGTGCTCCCGCTGCCTCACCAGCCACGCACAGCCTGCCCATCGCCCCGCAGCCCTGGGGGGCTGAGCAGCACAGCCCGGGGCCCTGGGGCTGCATGGCAGGAGGGGCTGCCCTGTGCCCCCGCCCGGAGGCAGCAGCCCCAGACAGCGCTGTGATGGGGAGCAGCCACCCATAGCACACCGTGCTGAGAAGGTGAGTGCTCACGGGGGTTGGGAAGCAGCAGGTTGCATCTGTCCTCTTCTTACCGAGGGGCACCTATGGCTGCATGGTCTGACGTGTGCTCGGGGTTCTTACAGTTTTCCAGTTGCTCTTAGCTTTCACTTCAGTGAGGCAGGTAAGAGTGTTTAGAATGTAAACATCACTGTTCCCAAACCAGGGAACCTGTACAGCAGCATCACCTTCACTGAGCCTTACGAATCCCATGCAAAAGCTGGAGCTCAACATTCTGCCCGATGCAGCAGTCTTTACAACGGATTGAAGCAGTGAAAACTTATCCTTTTCCTTCTCCTGGATCTGTTGTGTTTAAACAAAACCAGGGTTGTGGATGCCTGGCCACAGAGTGCAGAAAGCACTCACCAAGTCACAAAATGCTATTGGTAACTTAAAAACCAGGCCACACTTCCATAGCATGGAGACCAATCTGACCAACCAGCTGCATGCTGAAAAGGTGCCTTTGGAGGAGGTGTTGGGAGACTGGGGAGGGCTGGGGCAGCAGTAAGAAACAGCAGAGGAGGACCTAGGGAACACCACTGGCCCTGGCTCACCAGCACTGTGACTGCTCCCTGGCATCTCCAAAGGCTTCTCAAGCAGCAGAAAGCAAGAACAGTGTTTCTCTCTGCATGAGCCCAAAGCAGCCTTTCAGTTTCAAACCTAGGGACACAGCCACACACTTTGCTTCATACATCTTCATGAAACTGCCCCTCAGCACTCAGATCTCCCAAGACACGGGAGAAGGGTTTTAGGAGTCTCTCTGCAGATTGTCAGTCTTCAGTACCCTTCCCTGAGGCATAATCCAGTTACGTGTTCAGCAGCTGGTGGTCACAGCTGGTACTGCATATAGGCCCAATAGCTGCAGTCTGTTGCATCAGTGCACGGGGTGCTGCAGCGTGGCAGCAGCTGGATGGAAAGCACAAAGCTCACTGTGTCAGGAATGGCACACAGCTCGGCTGCTGTCACCAGAGTCAGGAGAGAAGGTAATTGTTTTGCTCAAAAGAGGTATGCTGGTTTGTGGTAGAGGTCTCTCCAGTGGTAAAACGAATGGCATTTTTAAATATAGATGGGATTTGTGTATTTGTAAAGTGACTTTGAGAAAAGGTCTCATCCCAAGGAGACATTTTACTACTGCTGTTTGTTACAGATTTCTTACAGAAAATGTGTTTACACAGTAATTAAAACGGCATTTAACGTTGTCAAAAGAAATGGCTGTGGTGACAGATAGAAACACTGCCACATGACTGAGTTTTCCAGCCCAGTGTCTTCTCGCCTGCCTCCACTACCAGATGGCTTACAGGTCTGCTGGAAATCTTGTTTATTTTCAGAAGGTGACTCAGGGTCTTTGCCATATCCATGGGGGTGGTGGTGTACAACGGGCAGCACGCAGACATGGAATCAACTCTGAATCCATGGAGACAGGCATCATCAAGATGCCTCCTACTCTGGACATGACTGTGCAAACCTCAGGAGCCTATGCATGAAAAATGCTCTGAGGTTCACTGCTTTGCAGAGGCAGAGCCAGAGCAGCACCCTGCTTTGGCCCTCTGAGCAAATGCTGCATAAGCAGCTCCAGCACCGCTCCTCCCATGGACTCTCATGGTAGGGAAGGTCAACTCTCTTGCCATCTATCACAGATAGAGGAAAGGCTGATGTCAAAAGCCATCCAAATCTCTGGGTATTGTCACTCTCCACATGTTTTTGCACCTAGAGGAACAAACACCCACTCTCTCTGCTCCAACTGGTGTGCAGGGTTTCCCTGAGCCATGCCTGGTCCTCTGAGCTGCTCCCCTTGACAAACAACAGTATGAGAAGTGCCAGTCTGAGCTCTTCTTCTGCTTCTTTTTTTAGACAGAAATTTGCAAAGGAGTCGTGTTTGATCTGACCAGGAATTTGAACTCTGATGGTAAATAGCATCGTTATATGGGGATAGGGAAGGGTTAAGTAGACATTGGAAATTACCAGTAAAAAGTTCAATGAATGGCAGAAATATCATTCTTCAATATAGAAAGGCTGGGACTTAGGAAATAAATGCAGTTTTCCCCTGAATGTGGGTAGAATTCTTGGATTTGTACAATTATTGGCCGTGGAAACCAAGTTGCAATCTGTGCTTTTCAGATAGTTTGCTTTCCAGTAGGAAACTCTTCTGTCTCAACAATGGAACCCTGTCCTAAAGCAGTGTGTTGGGATCTCTTTTCCTGACTGTAAAAATCTCAGCCTTTCAGAACACAGGGCCATTTCTACCACACAAGGTGGTGAGAAATGCATCCTCCAGTCACTGGTAGAAATGGCAGAGCAGCAAAAAGCACGTGTGCTCCACTTGGTATGTGCTCTCATTTCATTCAGATGCTGAGCAGCACCATTATGCACCGGTTGATGCTTTTGGATGTGTCTCAATGATAGCACTAAATGGAGTGTATTGGAATAACCTTGCCCTCAGGTCAGAAAAGAATAGATAACTTTCCATCAAAGAGGGATTGCCATAATATATAGGGCAGCTGTAGATGAAAGGAGACGGCGTGTGTGATTGCTGTTATCAAGGGACTGAGATTCAGAAGCGACACTGCAAAGTGACACAGGAATGTGTATCCGATCCTCACCAACAAAAGGGCTACTCACAGCCGAGGGAATTTCTGTAATGCTTTTTAATTGTCCCCTGTTCAATTTTATCCCCTTTGTCTAAAATAAGGCTGCATTTCTGCCAGACAGATATCCTCTATCTGCAAAGCATAGGAAAGGCGGAGACTGCAGGAATTAGGCTCAGTGCAAAGGCAATGCAGAACTGTGCCTCATCTATGGATGGGCAATTGTCTGATAAACAACAGTAATATTTCTCAAAACGTCCACAGAGGTTTTTCAATTGGAGAAAAAATGAACGTGAGATCCCTCGGCGCACAGTACCGCGTCCACAGCCTGGAGTAGTACATCTATATCTTCCTGTGCATTCTCCGTGGCACAGAAGAGAGGCCCTCTCCTGAGTCTGACAGAATGAAATGTAAAAACAATAAAATGCAGAGACAGGCAGCACATGCACTGCGTTGGCAGCGCCCCTGGCTCCGAAACATACACCTTTCTAATGTGGTCTGCCTGGATCGTCTTTCAGTGAGGCAGCTATTGAAATCTCATCTGACAGTCCACCAGCCACACACACACACACATATATATGCACTCCCATTCAGACAGATGCATTGCAAAGTAAAAATGTAGTCTTTGTCACATATGGTCCCACATAACCAAAGAGCAGGGAGGCAGAGGGGACAGGTCATTGCCTCTGCTGACACACTGGAGTGTTAGGCACCATGTGCCCAGATACTTAGGCTAAATGCTAAATTGAACAATTTTCTCTCTCATTAAACACTGTTGCTGCTGGACTTGGCTCTGTCTCATTGTCCTGTCTTCACGGGTCTTTCTCATCAATGCTTACTCTACCCAAAATCTGAATTTTATCAGGCTGAAGAACTATTCATGCCAGCTTATATGGTACAGAAGGGTTTTTCAACAGAGTTATCAGCACAGATGATCTCGTTAACAGCAGATGCACTGTAATGTTGTTAAATGGGTTTCATTTTAAAACTGAAGAGATTGATTTGCTGCTTTACTTGCTATTGCAGTAGGATGGTTTCTATGGATACAGTCTTATAGGGACTTTATTTTTCCCCTGTTGACAACAGTACGGAAAGCTAAATTCTCATCTTTTTTGCATTAGCATAAATGTGAAGCCAGGGGAATGATTCCCAGATTTAACACTGAGAGCAGAATTTGGCTCCCTGTCTCCTTCATCTTCACATTGAGATCTTGAGGGGGATGGTGATGGAGGGTAAAGAAAAGGAGAGCATTTCTTTGAGCACATGGGTGAGGGATGGGGCATAGGAAAGAAACAGCCAGCATGTCTGTGTGAGAAATGGTGAGAAGACGAGGCAGAATGCAAACACATAACTGCTTGTTTGGGGAGTGACACAACTGCAAAAATGTGAGTCAGGTTTTGGCTGCAGTAGTTTTTGACCTTATAATATCTGCTTGAAATTTGGCGAAATATAATCCCACTTGTTTCAATGAATGAGTCAAACTGTGTCATTCTGAAGAAAATTTGCTTCCCTTCCCTTTTGCTGCAATGTGCAGAAGAAGTAAGGGTACAGAAAAGAGCAAAATATTGGCTGTCACAGTGAAAGGCGTAAAGCTCTGCTGTTGTAGGATAGTGCTAAGGAAAAGTAGCACAGGGAGCTGCACAGGGAGCCACATTTCTCTGACTACAGACTCTTTTCAGGAAGTACCCCAAACGAGCGCTTTTCCCATCAGAGGAAGGCTCTTTTGGTTTGAGCATTCTCCTCCTCATTTCTTCAAGGAATGCTAGGCTGTGTGCATCTGGTGTGGCACTTTTTTATGGAATTAGAATCAGGGGCACTGCATCTCATTTACAACATTTGGAGGTGAGAAAGTAGTTCCCAGTTCTTGGACAGGAGCACAGCTCACCAGAGGGAGGAATGAAGAAGTGCTGTGTGTTTGATTCTTCCTGCTGACTATGCCACCAAATCTAACCCTCCCTCTTCAAGCTCCATGGGAGGCCCATTGAGGTAGAGCTTAAAAGATCCCGTGGCACTTAGCAGTAGTGGCAGCAGTGGTGACAATTGCACAAATGACACCATGAGATTGCAGCCAGCAAGTTCTCCTCTTCCTTCAAGGTGATTCTGACATCCAAGGGGAAAACCTGAGAGAGTGGGTCAAGGAACAGAGATTACTGGAGTCCAAGAAAAGGAAAGGCCCTCTTTATCCTTATCTCTGATTGACTGATTCTCCTTTCACAAAGAGCACAAGATATGAGAATGCAGATTTTAATGGTCTGCACCCTCTCCAGAACCACAACTTACTGTGCTATCTTCCTCTCCAGATTTACTCGTTTTCCCTTCACAAAAAATATCCTCACAAGCTGCTCCACACAGATTCAACTCTTTCCCACCACATGCTGTACCTCCCATTGCTCCCTCCTGGTGGGCCAACCTACCACGAAAACCCTTTCCAACACACCTGTGGAGTTGGCACCTCCTCAACATCATTATTCCTCCCCAACAATTCTCTGCATCCTCAGGAACACAAAACCCCACTCAAGGGGACAAACCCTCCTCCCCATGCAAAGAAGATCTCTGCATCCCCACCTCAGTGGCTGTTTCAATGGGGTGGGGACAGTGGGGAGAGCTGTGTCACAGTGGAAGCAAAGCCATGATTTAGAACTGGCCCTTTGCTCCAGCAAGGCTGCACAAGCCAGGGCAACTCTTTCCTCTCTGCTTCTGCAAAGGAGATGTGCTGAGCCTACAGAATCCCAGCAAGTTGTAAATCATTATGCACAAAATGAAAATCGAGTGTTCAGCATGCTGTCAAAACATGCAGGCTTGCACAGCACCCGCAGTACTATGCTCACAAAAGCTCTGATTACTCCAGCTGCAGCCTCAAAATTAAGCCTTGGGTCAGTGCTTAGGTCACACTGCCCAAGGTATGGGCAGTCACTGACAGCGATGGGGAGGGAAGCATCACAACCTAAGATTTGGCAGGAGTAAGGATTTTTGTCCCCTTGGTATATTTTTCCATCTTAAGCCACGAGAGGGGAAACAAACCTCAGTGGCTTTGGATCTGTGATACTGTTGTGGTTTAACCCAGCAGGTGGCTCAGCAGCACACAGTCGTTCGCTTACTCCTCCCTTCCCAGTGGGATGGGAGAGAGAACTGGAAAAAAAATGAAGTAAAGCTCCTAAGTTGAGATAAATCTATTTGCTATGATAGAGAAAAGGAAAAAGATAATAGTTATGACTATATGTATATATAAATATATATGTATGTATAGAACAAATGATGCACAAACAATTGATCACCACCCTCTGACTGATGCCCAACGAGACCCAGAGCAGTGGCAGAGCACAAGGTGAACTCCCATCCCCTTCAAAACTCCATGATGTCACATGCTATGGAATATCCCTTTGGCCAGTGTAAGTCAGCTGTCCTCACTGTTCCTTCCCAGCTCCTTGGGCCCTTTGCTGAGAGCAGCCTGGTTCTGTACAACACTGCTTAGCAGCAGCTATAAACATCAGTGTGTTATC